TAATGCAAGTCCATTGGGTAAATTATCTTTGGATTTGAGAGAGGGTGTTGGGAAAAAGAATCCACATTGTCCTTGGTTAGAATCTAAGATCTAATTATAAGTTACTTGTATCACCCCACTCATTGTCAATTGGTTTTGAAATGGGCCAAAAGACTTTGACAAATTGCATGGAAGTGATGCACTCGCTAGTCCATACGTATGGAAACAGATTGGTTAGGATCACTTCGGTTCGATCCGCATGCTTTATCTGAATAAAACCGAAACCGGTCAATTCGCTTGTGATCCCAAAAACCCGGTTCCCTTTACCCGATTCGCTTTTTTCTTCTTTTTCTTTGAAAAAATAGTGAAAACAACATTTATTAGCCGTAGTCAACTTGACATGCAAGTTGGATTCTTTTTTCCCTTTTGTATAAATCCAAATCCGAGGACTTTTTAACTTTCCAAAGCTCATTTTGACCGGACTCCGCCACTCCATTTACATATTCACCTTGAACAAATCCTCTGTTAACGTGAATTTGGAGATATGATTGAATTTAGTGACCTGTTTTCTCTCTAATAATTTTTGCTCTAACTTTTCAACCAAATTTGCTAGATATGGATTTTGTTTGTCAAGCTAAAGCAGTCTATTGAATTTTTAAAATAAACCTCACCTTTTTTGTTGAACTGGTCTTTCCTTTCTTCCGTACTTTTTTTTATCAATTTCAGTTTTATTTTTCATCCCAACTTGATTTTCACGATTAAAGTATGTACCTTATTCATTTATTTACTTTCATGATTTATACACATGTACTCCGTCCGACAAAAATAGTTCAGTTTTGAAATGTACAATATCAAAATAATGTACCCCTGATCAAAAGTTTATTTAACATCAAAATAAGGTACAACTCATTTAATCCATTAAACTTACGATTTTACCCCTGATCAAAAGTTTATTTAACATCAAAATAAAAAAAAAAAAAACTATAATCCGGTTACTTTTCTCTCTCTGTCGTCTCAACAACCAAGTTTAATCTCTCTGTTCGCCGGCCATTCCTCCTATTCCGAATCAGAATTTTCTGATTCTCCGGTTTCCTTAAACACAACAATGGCTTTACCGGCCATTCCTCCTATTCCGAATCAGAATTTTCCGATCTCCGGTTTCCTTAAACACCGCAGTGGCGATCAAATCCTTTGCACCGTGTCAATTGAGTCGATCTATTTATTTCGGTTCCATGATTTTCTTGTTTTGCCCGTATTGAAGAAGGTGGATCTGATGGATCTCCCTTTAAAAACCCGTCGTCCGAGTCGTCAAAGATCCAAATCAGGCGAGTAGCCATTGGTTTGATTTCTTCTATTTTCTTTTTTTTTTTCCTTTCATCTTGATATTTTTGGAAACATGACGATTTCTCCCTATAATTGAAGAAGGAGCCACCGAGATGGGTTTTATTTTGAACCATGTTGGATTTAAATTTGGCCCTGTTGATCATGGTCTGGACGGAAAGAAACTGGAGGCTTGATTTCGTGAACGAATAGGAGAAAGAATGGTTTGATGAAAGTTTGGGTGACTGATTGAGGGCAGTTAAGTCATTTTGTTTGTTTTAATTTTAACTTTTCTAGAACTGGACTATTTTTTTAAGACAAAAATATTTATCAAATTTGACTATTTTGTAGGATGGGGTACCAGTATTTTTCTTGACGCTCTAAACATCGATGGTTTTTGGCTTAATTGAGGAGAAAGATGATTTTGTTATCCTTTTGTAAAGTGATCATGAGAGATTGGGGAAAACAATCCAAACAAAAAAGAATTAAGATGATTTTTGTTGAAGTCCAAATTAATTTGCCTCGGATTAGAAGAAATCAAACTACGGAAAATTACCACAAGCTGATCACACAATTACATGAATTGATCCGAAAAAAAATAAACTACAGATTTGTCCACAAAAACATCCTGTTTATTTCAGAAAAATAATTCACTTTAAGTTTTTGAAGTTTAACCCCACCCCCCAAAAACAACTAAGACCCATTACACAATGTCAAAACTAGACAAATACAAGGTAAATTTTACTCTATTCACACTTTGGGACTAAAACTAGGCAAATACTTAAAGGTTGAGAGTAGTTCTTAATAATTCAATGGTTTGGATTAATTACATATTTTTAAACGTCAATCTGCTTGTAAGCACTACAACAAAAATGAACACTTTTTTTGTAATTCATTAAGTAGCGAAATAACTAAATACAAAATAATTTTACTTCTCACAACTTCATAAGGGTATTTTAGTATATTTTACAAGTTGCATGAAGTATATTAAGTTGCGTTTAGCAATACTCAATACATAGGAATTAAATTACGTGGAACATAGTGTCTACTAAATCGAGTCAGAATATGCCATGAGACAATTAAAAGTGTACTATTAGATTATCATTTGATAATACACTTTAAAGTAGCTCATTAGGCAAACTAATAGTACACAAACAATTTGAATAATACACTTAATATAGTGTTTCATAATATGAATATATTTTTTCATTTTTTATAGGATACTTTTCAAACAAATACGGTAATACACATATGATGAGATATATTTAAACAAAAAAGTGTCCCGCTATAAAAGTATTAATAGGCCCTTATTGTTAAGTGAATAAATTAATAATATTGAAATTTTGATATGATATTTTACATATATTTACTATGTCACTCGTAAAAGTCTACTATTTGGGGGAGGGACCTACAAGTCCGGCCTTGACAGTTTTGGCAGGTTTGGAGATAATTAAATGCATATTTCTCAAAGAGTGATAGGTAGAAGGAAAAAATAATAAGGAAAAATAACAAGAAATGATGTGTCAAAATCTTAATTATGCCCTAATCTTAAATCCATAAACTTATTTGTAAAGTTTTAACAATGAATGAGTGAGATCATTTCTTTATAATTTTTCCTTGTCATTTTTTTCTTGTACCAATCATTATTCTTTCTGAAACCTCCTTCTTCTTAAGTTTCCATTAAGTTATGTTTTGTCAGATGTTCTCTAATTTTTCTCCAATCTTTCTATCCATTTTTAAAACTAGATGTTGCCCGTGCGTTGCACAGGCCGAAAACATTCATGTCTAATTAATAATTGAAGATAGTTGGTGATGTAAATCTCACAAAGTGTGTCATATTATACCCTGATCAATAGATATTATAAATGATGTGTAAAACAACATAATAAACTAACCAAATTAAAAGTTAGATAACAATCAATTTTAACTGGACAATCATTTTTAATTAGAGAAAGCATATAAATAAAAAAAAGAACGATAAGGAAAAAAATGTCAAAGTTGAGTTAGCCCGTTTCATTCGAAAATAACAATTAAGTAATGTATTCAACTATGCTAATTTATGTTTTTACAAAAAAAAAAAAAATCAAATCAAATCAAATGTTAGATATTATGATTGAAACTAGTAATTACAATGTTAAGGCCAATTGTGAATTTGCTCTTTCCACTTTATGTAACTTGAACGAATGCACTCGAAACAATTATAATAATAATTGATCCAATAATCTAATAATGCTTACAACCAGAAAAAGAAAGTTAATGTTTTCCCCACTGCCTCCAAGCTTTGGTCCCTAAGGTGACACATCGTTGCCTAGGCCTTTTGGTCTTGGTTATCACCTCAGCTTTCTACGACTTATTTTCAGCTTTGGTATTCTTAACATTATCCTTTCTGCTTCCTCTGTTCTTGTACTCTAAATAGCCTCCAAGGTCGCGCCAACAATAGACCTAGGATAAGTTTTTCTAATGATGTGTTTCCTTTTCTTTGCGACTCTTGTTTTAGTAATATCCTTCTGAATTTTCTACATCTTTGAAAATCATAACACTTGGGCTGAATTACATCTTGTATAGGGCCCAAAAGTAACTTTAGCTACTAAGAGGATCCATTTTGTTTCTTGCCTACGAGCATTAACCTTTCCTTGCCATGGCATCTCCTGATTCGCGGCGCGAGTGTGTTTTTTAAATCTTGTGGGGAATTGATTTATAGAGATGCATCATAAAACTCTATAAACAAATGCTTTCTTGAATTGCATTTTGAAAAGCTATAATGAATTGGTTAGCTTCTTCAATTTGGTTTTATTTCACAGGGAGATGTTTGACATTTTTTAATGTAGAATTTACATTACTAAATTAAATTAATGAAAAATTAAATATTGTCAATTTGTGATCTTGTATTACTCATTCACATAAGCCAAGTAATGGATGCTTCATTTTAGTTCGTTTTGTTTTGTGTTTTTTTCTTCTTTTTTTTTTTTTTGGCTAAATCAATATATATTCGAGGCATAAAAAGAATAAGAGATAAATGTTGCTGATATAGAACTCAATAGTTACAGTTCAAACTAAACAGATCTAACGATTGAATCCCATCAAGTGGTCACAAAAAAAAAAAAAAAGTAGATAGCTTATGTACTCAAGCTCCTCTCATGAGCTTCATCCAAAGTTATTACGGAGTATCGACTAAGCTTTCGATTGGACAAGTTTAGAACTTCATGAGTAAGGTATTTGCAAATATAAAAATATATAATCTTTTTTCTGGTTTATTATCCACAAGTCGAAAAAGACAGGATCCTTCAATATATACACACAAGTAGATTAAATCTAATCCAATGGCTTTGATGGACATAAGAACGGAAAGCCTGAACCATTACTGACTTACTGTAATGTGGCTATATTAACCAAAAGTGTGTTTTGCCATTACTGTTTTCATGTTATAACACATTGCATAACCATGTGTATTTCCCATGTAGAAGATATGTACTCTCTGCCAGGTAATATAGGTTCTTATTGTGATGAAAGATGGACATTTCTCTTCCACATGGGAAGGACAATTGCCACTCTGCCAAAAAAAGCTATATTATTATTTTATTATTTTTATTTTTATTTTTTTGGTTAAGCCATGTTTCACGATCTGTTGTTTTGACCAGGCAAGAAGGCAAAAACCAGACTATAAAATTATACACATGGATCTAGGTATCTCTCCAAAAAGCCAAAAAGCTATATTATTTATTCTCCACGATTTGGTTAGCGAAGGTTTCCAATTGTTATAAAGATTTGGTTTTGGCATTTCAGTCTGAGGATGAAACAGTACATTAAACTGGACAACCATTAACAAAAATTAGCCAGAAAAAAAAACCCCAAAAACAATCACCTTGAGAGAATCAATGTAAATGATAGAGACCGTTGTTAAACAATTCTAAATTCATTAGAAAATCAAACCCCGAATTTTGTACCTCTGAAGTTAGATTATTTCATTGATGGTTGAACCACAAAAGAACATTCTTAACTAAACTTTTTGAAACAAATAACAACTAACAAAAGAAAAGAAGTAGAAAGAACACACCAGTTTAGTGCCAGTGATTCCGGAAAGCCCTCAAGAATATGAACTCCAACATTGGCCCAAGTCCTAATAAATATGCATACCATCTGAGCAAACACGATGAACCACCATGATGTGTGCAACACAACAGCAGAAGTGGTCCAATCCCCACTCCAACTTCAATATTCCAGATCGTCACCATAATCTTAATTGCCGCTACAATCCACTCTGGCTCCTAACCTTAACGTGGGCTAGCAAAACTTTTGCGATTGAAAAGTTTACAGCATAGGCATGTCCTTGCTGCCTCAAATAAAAGGTATTGGATCATCACCAATTACAGTTTGTACACCACTACATACTGTGGAATTACAGTTTACATCTTATCTAAGATAGATTCCATCACAACAAAAATTCACCTCATTGAAATTCCAAACTCAATTTGTTAGGATGCGATCTAATCCAACATCACCAGATTTTGCAATCAAATATGTACAATTAATTTTCCAGTCTTTTTTTGACCTTTATGGTTGAGCTCCTCAATCCAACCGAATTCTTAAACCATACGGATGATTGAAACCTGAAAATTTTTTAATCTAAAAATGATTATGTTGTAGTATGACTGCAATGGGTGTTGAAGAACTATATCACTAAGCTTTATATAGAGGATTGTCAGTGGATGATAGATTTGGAGATAACAGTAGACGATTCATATTAGAATAGAATATTTGGTAACAAAAAAGATCTGATAAGATTTGGCTAACGAAAAACTGAGATGTTTGTTTTGAGTCTTGAATTGGTATTTGTTCTGTCAATCTGTTTTTTTTAACCGAATATAAACTTTTTTTTTCTTTTTAATAAATCAAAAAATGGAGAAAATTGCTAGTCCTATGTGGCAAGTGAAAAATTATCTAAGTTTTCTTTCTCTGAGTTTTCTATTAGTAAGTTATATAGATAGATTTTGTGCAGCTCGAGTTGATTCTATTAGAATAACTGCTAAATTGAACAGTTTTGAATTACCAAATTCATCTTGACCTATATTATACCCTTGAAGTGCGTTACTAATTCACTGAAATTTTTTTAAATATGCTTCCGCAGACGACATCATCTAATACTAACCTTAAATTATATCATAGAGAATGAAAAAGGGAGGAGAAACTTATCAAACTTGTCTCGATCATGCGCTTCAAGTTTTGGAAAACTTTGATGACACACTCGACTACAATCTATTCCATTTGAAGACTCCCATCAAAATAATGAGAACGGACTTGAGGTTTTTCAAAATGCTTTTTTGGGGTTTTCAATTTTGGGAAGAAGCAGAATCAAATTGGTACTTGCGCTTTGCCATAAGTACTATGCAACAAAGTTTAAGCCGAGTAGCCACTGAGTTTGTGGAAAATTTTATGTATTTTCTGAATCAAGATCAAATGACAAACTGGGAGGAAATAAGCTACGATTTAGAGGAAAAGATGCAACATTTTATGCCACAAGTTAAAGAGATTTCCACCCTTTTGTTAACTGGGGATTTTAGATGCAAATCTTGCCCACAAAACCATGGACTTTCTTATGAATATGGGAGAGAAACAAGCACTTTCACTGATTTTGTTCGAAAAAATCTAAAAGTTCTACTCCTCTCTAACATTGATCTGAATGCTCTTGGCAAGCGGCAAATTGCCTTTATTGAACGGATTCTCGAGGGGCTTGAAAGGTTCGCTAACCTAGTCAATCATTCTAGAACTGAAGTCAAGAAACCGCGTGATTTCTTGATGATAACCCAAGCTCGAACTTGGGCAAATCGCATTTCATCTCTTGCTCTCCAATATTGGATTGAAGGAAGAAGTAAAAGTATTGCTTCCACTCTAGGGACTACATTCTCTGACACACTGCAAAAAACTGTGCTCTACACTCTAGGTGTCTTGGCATCACACAATGAAGGTAAAGTCATCCATCAACTGCGCACAAATTATTTTCATCTTCTTCTTGAAGATGTGGCCATACTTCCCAAAGTCGAAGTTGAAATTCTTCTTGAAGGCTTGACCTTCTTGTCATCATTTAATGTGGACCCAGCTGAGGGTGATTCAGAGGAAATGCAACTAATTGTGGTACAAATTAATGCCTTGATTAATGAGCTGCCATCATTCATTTGCTTTATCCATTTTGATGAAATGGAAATTTCTGAAGGCAAAATGTTTGGTTTCTTCCAAAAGATCAATTGGTTAAAGGTTAAGATAAGAGAGCTTTTTGTTAGGACTACATCATCACAACTAAATTCTCCCAAAACTTATCCAATTGGATTTCTTGATTCGTTGTTACAGAAATTGAAGGAAATGTTGGAAGGGAAAGATAGGTTTATTTCCTCAGTAAAGCATCAAATTGAAACTATCCATAAAGATTTGGTCTTGCTTAGTACAGTTGCCCTAGATAATATTGGAATGCTAAATGAAGACGCAGAGTTTCAGGATCTTTGGGCTCAAACTGTGGACTTAGTTTATCATGCATCGTATGTGATCAGGTTGTGTCATGTCAATAGTTTCTGTACATGGTACGGAATTGCGGACCTCCCAAATGTTGTAGAAAGCATAAAGCTTCTTAAGGTTGAGTTTCAAAGGATTCGAGATCATGAGAGGAAACAAATTAGAACTCTTGATGATAGTGTGGACTTTGGTAAGGCACCACAACCTACCACTTCTAATATAGAAGGAGTTTTTGTAGGCTTCAAAGAGGATGTAAATTCAGTAACTAATTATCTTATCAGAGGGCGAAAACTTCTCACACTTATTTCCATTTCTGGATTACCGGGTCAAGGAAAGACAACCTTAGCTAAGAGAATTTATAATGACCCAAAAATTCAATATCACTTCCACAATAGTGTGTGGTGCTATGTCTCCAAACAATGTAAAGCCAAAGAGCTATTGAAAAAAATTGGAGTTGATCTTATTGGCCCTGAAGCCGTTGATCTCGAATTCGATGACCTAGCTAACCGTTTGAGGAAACGTTTCAAGCAAAAAAGATATCTGGTGGTGATGGATGACGTGTGGGATGTGTCCGTGTGGAATCAAGTGCGGATGTCATTTCCAGATGACAACAATGGAAGTCGAATCTTATTTACTTGTCGCAATGATGGTTTGGCTTCACAAGCTGAATTGAACTTCATTTCGCATCCTCTTAGGCCCTTTAGTGAGAAAGAGAGTTGGGAATTGATGAAAGAGAAGCTATTCTTCAATTCCAGTGAAACTCCACCCATATTTTTGAATATTGCAAAACAAATCGCAAGTCATTGCAAAGGAATACCTCTTGCGATTGCACTGGTGTCTTCTTTGCTCCAAAAGACACAGCAAAAACCCGAACTTTGGAACAAAATTGCTGAAAATTTGAAATCGCACCTTGCAAGCGAAGGTTGTGGAAACATAATCGAGCTTAGTTACAAATATTTACAAGATCATTTGAAACCTTGCTTTCTTTATTTTGGAGCATTTCCAAGGGGAGAAAATGTTTGTGCTAGTAAATTAAAACGCCTTTGGATCGCTGAAAAGTTTATTAAGAATGACAAGATGCAAGGCTCAGACTCGGAGGATTTGGCAAACCAATATTTAGATGATCTTGTTTCTCAAAACTTAGTTGTTGTAAGTGAAAGAAGTTCCATGGGCAGGGTAAAATCATGCAACATTCATGACTTGGTATATGACTTGTGTTTAGAGAAATCCAGAGAAGAGGATTTCTTGAATTGGGCAGAAGAGAGTCTTTTTGTAAATCAACCCCATACTAAGCCACAAAAGTATATCCACCATAGACTTTGCATTGGTAAAACCGACCCTTTCGTCAAGTCAAGTCCAGTTTGTACTAGCAAGGAGTTACCCACAAGTAAAGTCCACTCTTGTTTGTGGTTTGAAGTTGATGATTCACATTGGGTTATGACAATTAAAAGCATATCCCCGTTTTTAAATAGCTTTAAAGTTATCTCGGTGTTGGATTTGGAAGGAATAAAGTTGCATTGTGTTAGATTCCCAGAAATGATATTGTCAATGATTCACCTTACATATTTGGCAATAAACGTTAGTCGTTTGATTGGTGGCATTCCACCATCAATAGCTGACCTGTGGAACTTGGAAACTCTCATTGTGAGATCCTTAAGATTACTTGATCATCCATTGCCAGTTTCTTTGTGGAGCATAAAATGTTTAAGGCATGTTGAGATACAAGGTGCTCGTCTTCACTTAGAAGACTTTGAGGAGGATAATTCATTTGATGCATACACGATTGAGACCCTTGGAAACCTAATTCTTGGTCATGATCGAAAAATAGAGGAATTCTTAATCAGGTTACCAAGGCTTAGAAAGTTGAAGTGCCTTTTATTGGAGAAGGAATACCATCCCATGTGGTTTTCAATATTTGGATCTCTTAAGAACTTAGAGTCACTTAGAGTGGAAGGATGGAAATATATTGGATGGAAAAAATTGCCAGCTTTCAACTTTCCAAATCTCGAGAATCTTAAGAAGTTAAATCTGTTTGGGCTACAATTACCATGGAGTACCTTGTCAACTGTTGGGAAGCAGTTACCTAATCTTCAGGTTCTAAAGTTAATTTACGATGCATTTGAAGGGAAAATGTGGAATTTGGAAGATGGAGATTTCCCACAACTCAGATATCTGAAGTTAGATCGTTTGAATATTATAAAAATAAGCGTCGCTTGTTGTGAGGATAATCCCTTTCCCAGCCTTGAGCAACTTGTCCTTACTCATTGCGACAAACTGGAGAAGGTCCCATCAAGGTTTGGGGAAATTTCCACTTTGAAAACCATTAAAATGATAGGTCCCTTTCACATCAAAGCCAGAAAATCCATAAAGAGAATTTTGAGAATCCAAAAAGACATGGGGAACGACGATCTTCAAGTATTTGATGACGATTTTGTTGGTGATGACGATGATGTTGCTAAAGATGATCATACAGAAGAAGAAGAAGAAGAAGAAGAAGAAGAAGAAGAAGAAGAAGAAGAAGAAGAGTATGTAACACTTCCTTATATATGTTTGTTCTTCTCAGTTATTCTCTTTATCTTTTTATAAAGGTAAATTAATTTTTTTTTAAACTTAAATTATGCAAAACCATATGTTTTTGCCTTTTCGGCACAAAACGTATGTATGTATATAGGTAATTCCAAACTATATTTTCAATAACATGTACTAAACATGTACTCTATATTATCCCAATTTTAATGTTAACTTATGCATTATAATTAGGATATGAGAGAGTGTTACTTCACTCAAATACTCTATAATTAGTACCCGATGGGGTGTTAAATTAATAAAATGCTTAATACACACACACACACACACATTCTCTCTCTCTCTCTCTCTCTCTCTCTCTCCAGAAGAATTCATTCAATAATTTTGATGCAGTTTTGCAATGTTGGTACCTAACACTGTTAAATTTTGGTATATTGCAGTGAAGCTCCGGCTGGACGGTGGTGATGAATCTTAGAATTCATCCATTCTTATCATCACAAGAGCTGTCTTTTAGTGAAAACATGACATAATGTAAGTTGCTTGATGTCTTAAGGAATGTTTCAGGTTGTCCTAAACACATTGTCTTTTTTATTGCAAGAAACATGACTATCTTTTTGGGTGGGGAGGCATAAAAAACTGATAAATCCTTTTCAGGGCCACCCAGCTGATACGTGCGAACTCTGGCTTGCTGCAACTATCTCTCAAATTGCATTGTTCGAACTTTGGAGACTTCATGAGGGCTACTAGACCAACTGACCCTTTCCACAATGGAAGATATCAAGCCGCGGAAGAAGATGACCGTGAGGTTTGTTGCTCCAATTTAATTAGGCTATAAACTTGCATATTGCTCTGTAAAGTTACTGCAAAATAACTCTTCGACTGCTATATAACTTGGGCATCAATGTTCTGATCTCACCAAAAATGTGACGATCTTGAAGAGATTAGTCCTTCTAGCATTGAAGATTTTCTTGTGTCCGTCAAACTTCTTTTTTGGTAAAACGGTAAAGTTTTATAACTTTAACCTCAAGTAACACTGTACAAGTATGTGCTGTTTACACTTGTTTTATCAATTAAACCTGATTCCTAATTGCTGTAAGAAAGACTGCTCCTGCCTTCTTGCATTTGAAATTTTAAACCTCAGCTGACACTGCATCTCCTTCTTCATTAGCTCAAACCTTGCTTTTGGATCAAGTTCCTTCAGTCCCACTCTTCTGGAGTTCCTTTCTGTCCATATACAGTAAATAGGTGCATTCAAACAAGCATACAGGATTGATCTTTTGGTCTTGTTAAACCTCTACATTGATCTAATTGTGCAAGGATTCAAAGTTTTCAATGCCCTTCTTATGTTCATCCATTGCCTTAGCTGCTGCATTATTTCCTGGGAGTATTCACATATGAAAAACATGTGATCAATGTTGTCCACTCCTTTCCTACATAATCCACATGCATGATCAGCTACAACAAGGTGCATTTGCTCCAATCTTTGTGCTGTTAATAATCTTCCTCTCCAGGCCAACCAGCTGATAAAGCAGTGTTTTGGCAAGCTCATAGAGTTCCAAATAATGCTTGTTGGTCTGAGTTTTTCCTTCCTGCCTCTGATCCAATAACAACCACTCTTAGCTGTATGGAATTTACCTCCATTTCCAATCCATTGATCATTCTGTACTCCAGTCTTCAACATATCTCTGATATTCATCAACTTTTTAACATGCTAGCTGGAATCCTGAGGTGGTTGATACTGCCATACATTCTTCCCTTTGATGTAATATTCACGCATCCATCTTATCCACAAACTTTCTTTATTTCCTGCAAGATAAAAAATATGTTCCCCCAGCATTGCAAAATTCCACTGCCTTGGCTCTCTCAAGTTCAGTCCTCCTCCTCTCTTTTTATAGCACACATCTTCCCAAGATACTAGAACCCAACTCTTACCATTTTGTTTCTTTCCCCACAAAAAACTCTTGCAAATACTGATCACCTGTTGCATCACACTCTGAGGAATCATAAAAATGCTGGCCCAATAGGCATTCAAATTCAGCAACACTGAGTTCACTAGCAAAGTTCTGCCAGCATAAAACAAGTGTCTGGTTGTCCAACACTTGATCCTAACTGTGATTTTCTCTACTGACAAGCCGTCGTCACAACTAGTCAAATAAATTCACCTACTTAACATTAGTATAACGAAAAATAGGGTCGCACCCACAGAGAAGGAATACTAATTACCAGGTATAAATTACTCCTATTATTATCTAGATAAATGATGATCTCAGATTTTCAATTAAAATAAAACTAAAACTAGAATCTATAATATGCAATTACTTTCAAAGGTTGAAACAATCAAGTTGGGAAAATCTAGGACATTGGGTTCAACTACCGAATATTTGGTTTCATTCGACTCATAAATATCTAACCTTTAACTTCCATTAATCTCACAACGATTCACCGAATTAAGAACTACACACTCTCGCGCTATAATTCTCTTACTTAGATTAACCCTATGACTACTCTCGCGACTATAGGGATTAACAAAAGCACATTAAGACCATTAAAAATCAAACGTTGCAAAAGTTATAATCTTACTCACGTATCTTACACCCTAAGTCTATTATTCTCACGAAGTAATACTAATCTTCCACTCTCGCTACTTCGATTAGTATCTTCAGACATGCAAATAGTTGTCAATTACTTATACGGATTAAAACAAGAATAACAGATATTAATTAATAGAAAAGTCAAATAATAATGAACCAAATAAACCAAATAAATCCGGCGGCTACATCCAAACCCTAAGTTAAAAGAATTTAGCCACTAAACATTATCAGAACAATTCAATAATATTTAGAGATATAATCCACATAAATCTGAAATTAAATTAAAACTCAAAAATCCGGAGAGAAAACGAAGCCGCCGAGTTGGAAGTTGGAAGACCACGGCTGCTGCTTTTTCTTCACGTCCAAGCTGCCTCCTTGATGATTATAATGATGATGCATGAGGCTGCTGTGATGATGATGATTAAAGTAATCGATGGTGGCTGCGTGGAGGTGGGGGGCTGATGGGGTTCGGTGGTGCGTGGAGGGGTTCCCAAAAATTAATGTATATCAAGTGTTTATATAGCCTTCAAATCATGCGCACCACTCAACCCTAAACCCAAGAAACTGCACCTCTGGTTCATTCACGTAAGCTGCTGCCCAAAATAGTTCGGAAATTTGCACTTTAGTCTATAAACTTGTGTAAAATTACAATTCAGCCTCAAAACTTCTTCAACTTTTGCAACTCAGTCCCTATGCGTCTTCCATGCTGAAATTCAAATTTTTGGCTGGATTTTCTCTTTCATCAATTATCAAATCTTAAATCTTGCTTCTATAAATTGATCTTTATCTTGATTTTAGTCCAAAACTCTAACAATTTCTCCATTTGAGTACAAAACCTACAAATAAAGATAAAATAATATAAATAACATATTTGTACTCAAACTATATTGCAAAAATCACAAATTAGGGATATAATAAATATGTAAAATATAAGCATATCATCTACCATCACCGGACAATCTCCCTTTGTCCATACAGTAGGTGACACAAGCATACCCAAGTATTTCATCGAAAACTTCCCTTCTTCATACCCCATCACCTCCTCTAACTCTTTCATTCTATCTTCTGTACATCCTCCAAAGTAAAATTAGATTTTTCCATGTTTACAGTGAGTCCAGCTTACAACCTCTGCATTGTTGTAAGTATTTCTTTTATGGATTTGGAAGAATAAGGAGACTTGAGGAGATATTCATTTCATCAATATTGCAAAAGACAATTGATCGAGTGAGGTGGATATTGAAATGTAGAAGGCATTGCTTAATTGCCAAATGAATATATGTGAAACTGCAAGTGAAACGTGATGAACTAGAATTTGAAGGATTCTGTTATTCGAAAAGAAGATTGAGCGAGGCAAATTTGATTTGATCAGGGCAGATTTTCTACATCAATTTTATCTTGTCAACCACACAGAGAAAAAAATTGAAAAAAAAAATGAAGAAAGCTTTTGCTGCTTTATAGGAAAACTGTCCACAGAAAATAACGTCCTTTTGCTGTCCCACCACCTGAAGTCAATAGGAAAAAACTCTTTAGCCAACATTTAAAACCAAACAGAGTGAATTGTTAGCTTAAGCATTATTAGCACTGACCTTAACTTCTTTTTTTTTTTTTTTTGCTAGGCAACCTCCATAGAAGCAGCATTTAGATTCAATCAAACTTCATTCACAAACTAATCTCTGGACTCTGGTAATGTTCCTTCTTGCCGGCTAGAATGATCGACTTCTCTGTAAATTGATACTGATATCCAAATAAACAATGACAGTATGGTAGTCAGCAATATTGAACAACATGATCACCTTGAGAAATGAAATCTGGCACCACAAGAATCGCGTCCTACAATACTTCCAACACTCGTATCTTTCGCTCACCTAACAGTGAAATAATTAACTCTCCTAACAGGATGATCCCCTTACAGGTGTATTAACATTAGTTGGTTTCGTTCCTTCAGAAAAAAATGTAATTCTAATTGAATGATTTCATCATAATCATATGCTCAATGGTTTTGTAGTGCAAAAATTTTTACTGCATATTCAGGGCCTTAAAACATTTATAAGCTTTAAACAAATGTCATCCAATGATTTACCGGTTGACGAAATATCCAAAACTCACAATAATTGGTTGAAAGCTGATAAAGACAATGCACCTAACTTAAGTGCTTTATTTGTTGTCTTACTAGAGTGTTTTAAAACTCAAAACTCAACATGCAGAATGAATATGAGAGGTACAGAAAATAACATAAAATACGCATGTTCGCAGAGAATTACTCGATACATTACCTTTTCCCTTTTTCAGAATTATTTAGAGGTTCTCAAGCTTCAATGCTTCCATGTCCTTCTGGCTCTACTGCTGCATCGTAATCGTCCACACTTATTCGGAAGCTGTCATTGTTGTACTCTTGCTGTTCTTTCAGAATTTCAAACGCCGAACGCTTGGCACCAGAAGAACACCATCCGAGTACCTTGATCATGTTTAGGGTGCAAACTTGTCCGAATTCGGAAGGAATCTCCTCAAGTTTGTGACAACCATACAAAACAAGTTCCTCAAGGCAAGGGAAAGTGTCCTCGCCGCAGGCGGAGAAAACTATTTCTTCAACATCCAAAAATTCTAATTTCAGATATTTGAGTTTTGAGAAATTTCCATCTTCCAAATCCCAAGTAGACCCTGAGCATGAATAACTGAGTAACTTAAGTATTTCAAGATTAGGTAGCTGCTTCCAAATGGTGGACAATATACTCCATGGCAATTGACCTCCCGAGAGACTCAACTTCTTAAGATTCTCCATTTTCGGGAAGTTTAATGTTGAAGATTTATTGTAATGACCATTAATGCGCAGGGCTTCCAGTTGCTTCAAAGGTTTCAACATGGAAAACCACAACGGATGCAACTCGTCTCCTTCAACAAAGCAGTTCAAATTTCTCAGTTTGAGTAATTTCATTAGGAACCCCTCTGTGATACTATGATAAGGCAGAAATATTGTACCAAGTGTTTCAATGTTATCTGCTTCAAATGAGTTTTCCTGAAAATCTTCAATCTGGAGGCGGAAAAACTTAACCTTAACATGCCTCAAACTTTTCATCTTCCACATGGAAACTGGCAATGAAACCACTGAAGTCCCGTCGACTATGAGAATTTCCAAGTTCCATAGGCCAGTGAATGGTGGAAGGTCCATAATACCAGTGAGGCATAATGCTAGATATCTTAGATGAAGGTTTGATGACATTATGACCATTTCAGTCTGGTTTCCCTCTCCTAGAAGCACTCCTTCCAAATCCAGGATTTTAAGAACTTTGAAGCTCTCAAGAAAACAACGGAAGGATAAGGTCATTGATACAAATGAAGGATTGCCAAGATGAGAAAACCACAGAAGAGAATGAACTCTGCTTGTTGGCAGTTCCTTGCTGGTAGCAATTGGTCTTGGCTTGATCAAGGGATTACTTCTACCGATGCAAAGTCGATGGTGGTTGAACTTTGGGGGAAGAGAATGGCATAAGTCAATAACCTTGTTCTCATTCTCCCAATGTAAGAAATCTTCTTCCACTGCTTTCTCCAAACATAAATCATACAACAAATCATGAACATTGCACTTCTTTATCCCGCCCGTGGAACTTCTTTCTGTAACAACAACTAAGCTTTGAGAAACAAGGGTACTGAGGTAAACATTTGCCAAATTTTCTTGTGACTGCATCTCATTATCATTTTTGATAAACCCCTCAGCTATCCAGAGAAACTTTAATCTCTTGGCACGGATATTTTCGCCCCTTGGAAACGCTCCAAAGTAAAGGAAACATGGTTTCAGATGATCCGGTAAATTCTTGTAGCTGAGCTCTATTATATCACCACACTCTTCGCTGGCAAGGTGCGATTTCAGAGTTTCGGCAAGTTGATTCCACAAATCCAGCTTTTGTTCGATCCTGCTAAGAATAGCAGCAATCAAGCACACTGCCAAAGGCATGCCTTTGCAGCAGTTTGCGATTAGTTTTCCGATCCCTAAAAGTTCTGGTGGACAGCCATCACTGAGAAAAAGTTTCTCCTTCATCAATTCCCAACTTTCCTCATCAGAAAGCAATCTAAGAGGATATGGAATGAAAGCCAAATTTGTTTGTGAGGCCAAATCATGATTTCGTGTGGTAAACAAGATTCGACTACCGATTCTGTCATTTGGAAATGATAGCTGCACTTGGTGCCACAAGTTGACGTGCCAAATATCATCCATTACAATAAGATACCTAACCTTTCTCAACCTTTTCCAAACCCGCTCAGCTAAATCAGCATCTTGTAGTTTGAGGACTGATTCATGGTCCCTGTCAACTAGATCGCGTAAAATCTTAATCAATAACTCTCGCATTGTGCATTCTCTAGAGACATAACTCCACACCATTTTTGGAAAGTGATGCTGAACCGAAGGATGATTGTATACTCTTTTTGCCAAGGTTGTCTTACCTTGTCCAGGCATTCCTGAAATGGAAATGATTGTAAGATCATCTCTTTTGCTTAAAAGATGATCAATAATTGATCTAACATCCTCTTGGAAACCTATAAAAGCTCCTGCAAGCTCTGAATTTGTAGCTGGTTGTGACAAGGAAATACTAGAATCATGAGCCTGCGCGTTGGCAATTTCATTCCTACAGAAATGGTGATCTTCCTTCTCCACGAGTGTAGACTTTATAAACCTGATGTCTTCTATGAAGGTTGGGAGGCCTACAATACAGTACCATACAGGAAAAACATTTCCAGAACACATGCTGGTAATATATCTTGCATTATATACAGTGGTGACGATTTGAGACCAAAGATCTCTAAGTTCTCCACTCTCATTAGGAAACTCTTTGTTATTCATGAGGAACGGCCTAAATGATGCTAGCTCTTGCTGGACAATTTCCACTTGATACTTTGTAAAAGGAATGAAATTCACCTGAGAATCCAACATTTTCTTCAGTGTTTCTAAAAGGGAATCGAGAAACCCTAATGCATTAATCTTGGGAGGGTTAAAATCTGACAAGTGAGACTTGATCCTGAGATTGTATATGCTTTTCACTTGAACATAGACTCTATAGCTCTTTTGCATGAAACCAGAAAACTTATCCTTGAAAATCCCCTCAACCAAATTTTTCAAATGGTTTAAGCGAACCAAAGATGGCAGCTCATTGATGATACCATAGAGTTGAGCCAAATCGAACCCTACAGGAGGTTGCACGAAAAGTGAATGCAAAAATATCATGCCTTCACGTAGGGTTTCGATTTCCATTGCCATAGGTTCAACCAAATCTTCAAGGAGAAAATCAATATAGCTCGCAACAAGTTGAGGAATCACTGAATTTTCAGTAAACAATGCCACAACCCCTGGAATGTAACGCTTCGTTCTTTGCATCAAATCAGAAAGCAAAACCTCCATGGTAGATGGTAGCCTTTCATTATTGTCTCCATCAGCCCAAACCAAGAATGCAAGGCATGATATTTGATTAACCCAAGTTCGCCCACAGGAAATGAGTTCATCTAAATTCTTGACTCTTGTTCTGGAACGATTGAAAGAGTTTGCGAAATTTCCCGGTTCTACAAGTTTACTCTGAATGAAAGCAACTTGCTGCTTCAAAGTATCACTGAGGAAAACATCAACGGGCAAGAGGAGAGCCTCAAGATTCTTGAAGACAAATTCAACAAACGAGGAAGTGTCTCTTGCATACTCAAGAAATGACTTCAGGTGGTTGAGAGGGCAAGACTTACATTTGAATGATCCATTCAATAAAACAATGCAAAGTTCTTTGGCTTGTGGCCTAAACTCCGCATCAATTTCTTCTCTCAAGTCATAACCAAATATTTCCCAATTTATTTCTTGACGCCGACGGCTTACATTTTTGTAATCTACAACTAATTTCTTTGCTGCTTTGGTCAATCTTGGTGCCAGCGTATGAAATTGAAATGCCCAGCGCAAATGCCAATCATATTCGGGTTCTTCCCAATACGATAACCCCCACAAGAACATCTTAAAGAATTTTAAATCAAAAATCATTTTTCTGATTATACTGATCAAGTCCACAGGAATATTACTGACTGGGAGGTTAAGAAGTACCGTGTCTAAGACCTGGATTGTTGGATCCAAACATGTTTGGTAGTTTATTTTTTCCATCTTTAGTCTCACAAGTCACGCCCTGGAAACAAAACCAAAAAGTACAAAGTTTCAAAACTCTTGACAAACACATAGATAAGTAAATAATAGCACAAATTAAGAACACTATCAAAATTAGTACGAGAAACTTACGGTAAGGAATTATAGTTCTAATAAACAGTGTTAAATCAAAATAAAATAAAACCATTCCTGCAGGTTGGTCTCGACGTTTTAGTCGCAATTATTCAACATGTAGTCTTTTTTTTTTTTTTTGTTTTTCAGATAACTATATTTCTTTCATTTCAGAAAAATCGTCCAAATTATATTTTATTATTTGTACTTATAAATCACTAAGCATAGTGTAAACTATTTAGTTTTTATAAATGATGGGTTATTTTATGACGGGAACCCCTCAACTTTATATATATATATATATATATATATATATGGGAGCGGCTAGAGTCCCGTTAGGGGACCGTTCTGTTATACTAATAACTGTAGGATCAATTAAATTAAATAACAATGGTAGTATTAGAAATATGGTATATCGTTAAAAAAAAATAGACCTAAATCCACCTGATTATACCTCTTTATCGTCTTCTTTTTACTCTTCTCTTTACGGCTGCCCAACTTCGCCAATTATAATCTCAATTACAATCTCTTCGATCCTTCCATGGCTGTCGATTATGGAGCTTTCATACGTTTAATTTTAGGTTTGAGAGTAATGAGTTGAATAACCCGTTCAATTTTTGTTCGGGGTGGTTGGTTCAGTTGTAAAAAGATACAGATATGGCGGATAAATCCGACGAAATTTTTTGAGCATGAAAGTAGTTTTATTGATTTTGTTGGCGGGGTTTTGAAGAGTTTGATCCAAAATAACGCTAGTATTTGTGAATTCAAACTCGAATGTCAGAAAAAGTACACAGATGATTGCATCTATTTGTGGCTTCGTGGTGCTGCCATGCTTGGTGTCCAAAGTGTTTGTCTAAAACCCTCAATTAGAGATTCTTGTAAGTTAGTTGCAAGTCTTAATGTATGCACTAGCTTATTGAAGTTGTATTTGGATAGTAATTTTTCCCTAGCACTCGTTTCTTCTTCCTCTCGCTAGCGCACGGCTCCATTTTGGATCCCTAAGCTCAAAAGCTGGGCGCCATGGCTCTGACAATTCACGGGACGAGTGGAAACAAAATGTTCTCAAAGCATTGATTGCTGCAGAGTACAGTGATGTCAAAGTAGAGTTAGCAAAGGATTTTCAGATGGGAGTTACCAACAAGACTCCCCAGTTCCTGAAAATGAATCCCCTTGGGAAGGTATATTATAGAATCAATCTCCGGGGATATGATCTTTTGCTATTAATTTTAGTTTGTTTTTGGTGTCTAAACTTTTTTTTGTCAATGCTCTTCTAGATTCCTGTTCTTGAAACCCCAGAGGGGCCTGTGTTCTAGAGTAATGCTATTGCTCGTTATGATGAGTTTCTTCTTTGCTTTCTCCTTTAAGACGTTTTGATTTGATTTGAAGCTGCTGGTTATTCTTTTTCTCATTCATTTTAACTTGCTATAGTTACAAAGTTGAAGGCTAATAATCCACTTTTTGGCTCAACTCTCATTGAACATGTAAGCAAAATCCCTTTATTTTCTTAAAGTTCAGCATCATCTGTTACCTTCCGAATGAGCATGTTTCTAACTAGTATCTTGCTTGTGCTTTAATTTATTTGCTAAACAGGGCAAAATTGAACAATGGATTGATTTTGCTACCACTGAGATTGATGCTAACACAGGTCAATGGCTATATCCCCGGCTTGGTTATCAAGTTTACCTTCCTCCGGCTGAGGAAGCTGCAATCTCTGCTTTGAAAAAGGCACTTGGGGCCTTGAATACCCATCTCGCTTCTCGCACTTTCTTGGTTGGAGACACTGTCGTATTGGCTGATGTTATTTTTACTTACAAATATGCATTTGGGAAAATGTTGGTGATTGGTTCAGAGCCTCCATTCAAAGTCAAGGGTTTGTGGCTTTTTTCCATGGTAAAGAGATCCCAAAATTCGTGCTCGATGAGTGTTACGACATGGAGTTGTATCAGTGGAAGGAGGTTGACATCAACGATGAAGGACAGAAAGTGCATGTGAATAAGATGATTCAGGATGCTGAGCTTTTCAAGGGTGAAGCTCTACTACTGGATGCCAAGTGCTTCAAGCAAACAGTGGGAATGTTACCTGCTTAAAGCTTGTTTTTGTAACCTCAGTTTTGTCTAATCCTGGTTTTGTCTACTTTTTTTTAGCATATGATCAAATTGTTATGATTTTGGGTACTTTTGTGTCAGAAATCCATGATAGAACAACATAATGATAGTTAAACTTTTTTCTAAATTTTTGTTGGATGGTAATACATTATATATTAGTAGTTTTCATTCAAAAAAAGATAGTAATTTTTCCCTCAAGGTTCCCGTTGTCAAATTTCCCAATTTGAAGAAATTGATCCTTGATTATGCTCATTTTTATGATGATGAATCTGTCGAGTTGCTCTTTAGTGGATTCCTGTACTCAATACCTTGAATTGATCCCTAATTCGAATTAAATTGATCCTAGCATAACCCTTAATTTCAAATCGGGTAAAAACCTCTTATTTATGCTCAAGCAAATTAATAGAGATTAAGTGAAATTCGGGTACCAGGGAAATACTTCTGGCCGAAAATGAGTGAGGGGACTAAGGTGGTGATTCGACCTGATCGGATGGTGATGGTTGTAATTTTATCTTAGTAAACAACCTTGGTTAGCAGGTTATAGTTATTTTTTTTTCAAACTTTTAAATGAAAATTAATTTGGGATATGTTAGCATGTTACTCACTCCATGAATACATGTTACATCCTCAATTCTGATTGGTTGAAGAAAAAACGGGATGGTTCCGTTAAAATATCCAACGGGACTCTAGATTTTTTCCTATATATATATATATATATATATATATATTATTTCCAAGATCAATAACCACAGGCCCGCCCGCCGAGGCCAAGAGTTACAGTTTATGGGACTAGTGAGTTATCTGAGTTGCCCTTTTTTGTGACATTCGCAGCTCTTGAAAAGTTTTGTGAACAAAGATCCTTCTTCAAAGAATGGATGAATAAAAAGTCAGTCCTCAAGAAAGCTCGCAACAAATCACATCTTCAAATCAAATGCAAGCCTCATTGCTCTTGCTCTTCTAAGGAAGTACAAAGAAAAATAGAAAGAACATCAAAAATGGTGCACTAATGAAAAGATCCAAGAAGATTAAGCTTTGGTTTTTCAAACGAAGATTTTTTGGAAAAGGAAAAGGAGATCGTTGTTATCTCAGCAAGAAAAGGGGACATTTTTCGAAGAATTGTCCTAACAAGAAGTAGAAATCAGCAAAAATGATGTTACAAATCCTGTAAATTACTAATGATCATCTTGATGATATATATATAGAACCCATCTATTCTAAGCAAGATGAACAGACAAGAAACCATCTTTGCTATTCAAGATGACTCAGATGTAGATGATGATATTCTAGTATATGTGATCCAGTCTTCCTATTTCCAGCATGCTGTACAAGATCTCCACTCAGAATCCTACAAAATTGAACAAAAAATCCCTACACCTAATGTTAGAGTACAGATATTGCCTTTATCATATGACCGGCAAATAAAGATGATAGGTTTCATTGATACTGGTTCCATGAGAACTCTGATGAATCTAGACATCCTTCCACCAGAAGCCTGGAAAACACACCATGAAATTTTCAGAGGAGCTGACAAATAACAATTCCCTACATCCTTGATCTCAAAGGGGAAAATTGGAATCAAGATATTCCAAAGATGCATTGTATGGTTGAATGTCATGCAGTAAGCTTCATGGAAAGTACCTCATTATATGTTTTGATACCTATTTCAAAGCTCAGAAACTACAATTGCTGCCAACGGGAATAAAGTTCAAAAGGTAATTCCAACCCTATACTTTTGTCCGAAATCTTTTTTCTATAACAGATACTCTAGAGGATGTTTGTTTCGTTTTTTTAGTTAGTGTTTTTAGGTATTTTTTTTATTTATAATGTAAAAAGGTGTGTAGGGAATGTAAAAAAGTTTGCTGGGATGGGAAAGTTATTATTAAATCTGAAAAAACATCAAAAAAAGCAAACAAACAGAGCCGATATTGCTGATCAATTGAAGCAACATTGTGCTGATTCCCATGCTGAGTTCATCCATAACAAACCATTATGTTAAAATAAAGAATTCTTTATTCAACTATCTTTTAAGTTGAATGAAGATGCCAACCCACTACAAGCCTCTCACCTATGAATGACTCTAGGTGATCTCAATTTTGCCAGGGAAGAATGTCAACAACTTCTCCGCCAAGACAAAACCCTTATCTTTGAACCAGTCCTGCATAGTATCCTCATCTACATAGATGACATACTTCTTTTCTCAAAAAAAAAAGAAGCCCATGAAACACTCCTGAAACATTTCCTTTCCATTTTCTAGAAACATGGGATGATGCTATCAGAAAAGAAAATTCTTATTGGACATTCCAGTATTGGCTTCCTCAGCATAAAATTTATTAATGTATTATATCAACCTGGCCCACATATAGCCCAAGAACTCCTCGAATTCCCAGATTCAAATTCCCAAGAACCCTTCAAATTTCCAGTTCTTGGGCTATATGTGGGTCAGGTTGGTATAATCCATTAACAAATTTCATGCCAAGGAAGTCAATACTGGAATGTCCAATAAGACTTTTCTTTTCTGAAAGCATAATCTCATGTTTTTGGACAATGGACAGGAAATGTTTCAGGTGTGTTTCATGGGCTTCTTTGGTTTCCAAGAAAAGAAATATGTCATCTATGTAGATGAGGATACTATGCAGAATTGGTTCAAAGATTCGAGTCCTGGCTTTTTGAAATAGTAATTTGCCGACCTTAAGACAAAATGGCATAACAGTCCATTGGTATTGGGCATTTGAAAGACAAAAGGTTGTTTGTATATGTCTTTTGGGTCAACACAAAATTGCCAGAAACCGGCTTTTAGATCAAACTTGGAAAAAATATTTTGCTGACACTAAGTGGGTTGTAAGGGTTTTGATTTTTGGAAGAGGGAATTTGTCATCAGAGAGGAAGTGATTCAAGGGTTTATAGTCAATGACAAGTCTTTTCTTTCCTCTGATATGCTCGGACCATTTGTTGACATAGAAGGGAGGACAAGCCCAATTGGACTTAATTGGCTCGATAAGGCCTTGGTGGAGAAGTTGTTGACATTCTTCCCTGGCAAAATTGAGATCACCTAGAGTCATTCATAGGTGAGAGGCTTGTAGTGGGTTGGCATCTTCATTCAACTTAAAAGGCAGTTGAACAAAGAATTCTTCATTTTTCCATAATGGTTTGTTATGGATGAACTCAGCATGGGAATCAGCACAACATTGCTTCAACTAATCAACAATATCTTTGAATTCGGCTGGAGTATCTGTTATAGAAAAAAAATTTCGGACAAAAGTATAGGGTTGGAATTACCTTTTGAACTTTATTCCCGTGGGCAGCAATTGTAGTTTCTAAGCTTTAAAATAGGTATCAAACCTATAATGAGGTATTTTCCATGAAACTTACTGCATAACAATGAATCATACAATGCATCTTTGGAATATATGGACTCCAATTTTCCTCTTTCAGATCAAGGATGTAGGGAATTGTTGTTCCCAGCTCCTCTGAAAATTTCATGGTGTGTTTTCTAGGCTTCAGGTGGAAGGATGTCTGGATTCATCAGAGTTCTCATGGAACCAGTATCAATGAAACCTATCACCTTTATTTCCCGGTCATATGATGAAGGCAATATCTGTATTCTAACATGAGGTGTAGGGATTTCTTGTTCAGTTTTGTAGGATTCTGAGTGGAGATCTTGTACACCGTGCTAGAAATAGGAATACTGGATCATATATACTGGAATATTATCGCCTACATTTGTGTTTTAATCTGAATCATCTTGAATAGCAAAGATGGTTTCTTCTGTCTGTTCAACTTGCTCAGAATAGATGGATTCTATATCTCTATCATCAAGATGACAATTAGTAATCTACAGGATTTGTGACACCATTTTTTTTGATTTCTCTTTCTTGTTAGGAAAATTCTTTGCAAAATGTCCCTTTTCTTGTAGATGATAACAACAATTTCCTTTTCCTTTTCTAAAAAATCTTCGCTTGAGAAACCAAAGTTTACCCTTCTTGATCTTGTGATTAATGCACCATCTTTGAAGTTCTTGTCGTTTTTCTTTGTGAATTCTTTTGAAGAGCAGGATCAAGGGGGCTTGCATTTGGTTCAAAGATGTGATTTGTTGCAAGCTTTCTTGAGGACGGACTTTTTATTCATCCATTCTTTGAAGAAGGATCTTTGTTCACCAAGCCTTTCAAGAATTGCGAATGTCATCTGATGTAATTCACCCAAGCTAAATGAGGGAACTTTTCTTTTGGAGAGAGAAATCATCGGTTGATGTTCTGGTTGAATCTCTTGAGAAAGAAATGCGAGAAATACATGCTTAAGTTTTTGGTCATTGTAACCATTTAGCATATAGAACTTCTCTGACATTCTCTAGAAATGAAAATCCAGATCTTTCTTCTTTAAGGAAGAGCACTTCATTGAGAAATATTGTTGATTTGCCATTTTTCAAATCAGGATGGCATCTCTAACAAATTCTTTATGAATAATACCTAGCGCTGTAGCTAGGGTAGTAACTTGAAAGAGTTGAATCTCTTTGCAGTCTCCAAGATTGAGAAACCATTCTCGTAGAATATCAGATAATCTGGAAAGAAATTCTTTCAATATATCATAGAGCTTAACACCCTTTTGGACATCTGAGCATCAATCCAAGCTGCAAAAGTATGCAACTTATCTCTTCTTTGGTGAAATGGAACATTATAAATGTTAAACCAAGGACCATTTGGTGTTGGAAAGGGATGATGAAGATTCTTCATTGGAATCTTGTGGTTCAAGATCACTATCTTCTGCCGTTTGTTGAGTAGGCTCATCAGTGGGTTCATCAGGAGTAGCCAAAAGGAAAGTAGTGAGATCAGCCATGTCAGAAGAGTTGCTGTCTTCAGGGTAATCAGATGTGTTGCTTTCATTTTCGAAGGACTCAGGTTCAGAAGAGGAGAGGCTCTGGGTATCATCTGAATCAGATTCTGAAAGGAATTCATAAGGCTTTGAAGAACTAGGCTGAAACATCATGAGTATTTCTTTTGATTCTTTTTGAGGGATAGGGATGGATTTTGGCTCAGAAGGTTTAGAGGGCTTAGAAGGAGAGTGAGTTCTTTTGTTTTTTCTTCATGGCAGCTTTAGTTTTATAGGAAAAGGAATATGGTTTAGGAAAGAAGGTATTATATGAGTGGATCTAAACTGATTTGTATATGTTATAGAATTTACGATAAACCTCTGATGACTTTAAATCCTAATTGTAAATTTATCGATAAAAAGATAAATGAAACTATTCTAATTGAAACTAATTTTAATAAGTAAAAAATTTACAACTAAAAGGACAATTAAATGGGATGAAATACCTATTCTAGATCAATGGATTATAGAAAAAATGGGTAATATCCAGTCAAGGATAAACTTAGAAGTTGATCATATAGAACAGAATCCTGAAAGATATGTTTATATACCAATGACGAATCAACTGTTCCAGTCAAATAATAACAATGTAATAGATTTGGATTATCTTAGTCATATTCCACACATTTTATTTCATATCTAATAGAGGATAAAGATTATGTTCCTCATTATGTTTCTACTACACAAGCGAGTAAAAGAGATGAAAATAATCACCATGTTAAAAAATTGGTTAAAAAAAGGACACAACATAGTTAAAGGTATTTATAATACAAAAGATGAAGAAATAACTAAGTCATAAATGGCATTTTCAATATGACGAAAATAGATTTTGGCCATGGATCTTTGGCTAGGTAACAAATCAAAGAAGAGTTAAATCATCCAAGGTGGAAACCATTTAGAAAGTTTTATTTTCCCAAATTTTTCCTTAGAAGCACAAAATTTTATTTCTGATGAATTTTAAAAATTTTTATCATATCATGATATTTTATTTCCTTTTGTTCCATGGTTTATATGAACTTATGTTGATCCTCACATATGTTTGTTAGAAAGAGATTGTAAGCTTTTGAATAAAGATATATTAAAAAGAGTATTTCCACCACAACAACCTTTTTAAAATAGAAAAAGAAAATAATATTTTATTTTTTCCTTCATTTTCAAACTTATTTGAAACTGATATTTTCACTGTAACAATTAAAAAAATAAAAAATTTATAGAGCAGAATAATTATAGAAATGTTTATTAAAATATATGTATCTATATATATTTGGGTTAAAATTGATTAAAATATTTTAGGAAAACAAGTCATATCTATACAAAATAGGTTGGACAAACTAACACACTTGATCGAGAGTATTGGGTCTTTAGTTCTACTAGTTGTACTAATTCCACTAGTTCTGTAGGTCCAACAAAAGTTATTGCTACTCCAATTCTGCAACCACCAGAAATAAAAGATTTTAAATTAAAATCTTTAGGAGAATTGGAAAAACTAATAGATAGTGAATTTAAAGAATAAACATTAACACATTGGAAGAAGAATTTTTAGATTAATTAGAAAAACTAAGGATTATAAAGCAATAATAAATGATGAAATTAATAAATTAATTAAATATACTGAAAAAGACTATATGATAAGCCTACTCAAACACTATATTATAATAATAGAACTTCACGTGTAGATATTTTACATGAAGAACAAGAATATATATTGAATAATAGTTATAGTAGAAAATGTATTTATGAATGAAATATAGATTACCAAATTTAGCGTGGGGCTGGGGCCTGGCCAGTGCTTATCTTAGCCGGTAAGACCAAGCAAACAGATGAGCAAGGAAACCAGGCCGGAATCCAAACCACCACCCTGGCTGATACCATTCATCCTAGAGCTATGTCATGTCAGCCAGCTACAAGATCAAAATCTCTATCCATCCTTAATTAAAATATCAATAATCGAGATGCATGGAAAAGTTTCACCCGACTCCCAAGCCTGTCTGGAATCCACAACTTATTGTGCATCATGTGGCCTCTTTTTCCCTTAAACAATTCATCATAACGGGTACTTTTCCAGCCCAATGCACTTATTGTTGAGTTTTCCGATTGAACTCGGAATCGGAACCAATCTCAAATCATCGTATTTTAATTAAAAGAGAAGAAGGAGATAGAGCTTCCATGTATAATTTATGTAAACAAAAGCCAAATGTTTGATTCAGACAAAGGATTTACTCAGACATTGTCTGAGTACTTTCAAACTATAAATTAAAACAAACTTAAAAGAAAAATTACCTTTGAAAGCTTCTTCTATTCTTCAAACTTGAAAGATATATTTACTGAATGATTTGTTTACAAGGGAGAGAGAGAGTTTTGAGAGAAAAGAAGAAGAAAGGAGAGAATCGTTGCCCTCCAAATGAACTAATACCTTCTATTTATAGACAAAGTTTCTAAGTACTATTTTACAAAGAATTATTAATTCTTGTCATTATTTGACATACTTTTCTTCAGATTTGACTGCTTGTGGGGCCCACTTGTATTAAATTTCAAAAGTAGATTCCTACTTTTGTCACTTCATACTTTTTTCTTTTCCTTTGTCTGATTGAGCTGTTTCTTGGATCTGCTGTAACAGATTTTTGATAAATTTCTCGTGATCGTCATCATTTTTTGATGGCTGAGATTCTCCGGCCAATATTGCAAAAGAATTTTCTTCATTGGAAGTAATACTCTTCATCGAAACATCTGATTTTTTTCTGAAATATTATCATTATCGAGATTTTTTAAATTCTCATAAGATCTGCTTTAACTTCTTTCATATAGGCGGATATTATCTCTTCCTTATTAATTGCTCCCTGCTGAAGCTGAATTCGTTTTGTGATGTGTTTGAATGGACTTTCTTCATCGAGGTTTGCTTTGAGCTGTCCTTTGTCCGGAGTATATTCTTTGATTTTTTGGGCAATTTCGTCCAGCAAGTCCTGTCCTTCCATTCTTTTGGTATTGTGATTCATTTTTGTTAATTTATCCCAAAATTTGGTATAATATGTCTTATAAAGACACGGAATTTGAAATTCATTGAATCCAACCTCTGGAACCCATTTATAAATCCAGGGAATCGAGAATTCAAAAAAGAAGTATAACAAAGTGATTTTTCCTGAAGCACAGATATGACTGTATTGAAGTTTATCAATGATAGGGGAAGATTTTAACCATTGATAATATAATTTTGAAAAATTATCTGGCAAAATTTTTGTTGTTGGGCCATATAATGCCCACCACTGGATAAACCAATTGGGTATGGGAGAAGATTACACATTGGAACATATCTTAATGAACCAAGTATGCTTTTTTCTGGGTTTTCATAATAAAAGGTTTTGTAAAAACTTTGAATATAATCCCAGTAAGTAAATTTCAAAGGAGGAGAAGTAGGAGTATTACGTACTTCTCTTTCAGAAAGGGTTGAAATTCCCCATTCCTCAGAAGATAAAATCTTTTTGATAACAATTTTTGAGAAGTTATAAACTTCAGTTGTAGTCTGATTAGACTGAAAATGTGTTATTTCACAGGTTTGTTTGAGAATATTCTCATAATAATTTCTGGGTTTGTATGACTCACCCGGTATCATTACCCTATCTGCTAGATATCTTCGGAATATTACCCATGGGTCATTTTTCCACTGAATATCAGCGTTTTCAAGAAGGAATATTACCTCCTTTGTGGATCCTTTTTCATATGACCGGATATCATCCTGGTCAGTTTCACTTACTTTAGTAGCAAAGGTATCACCTTGTTACTCTTGGATATGATCCATAATCTGCTTATATAATGCAGAATCATTCTAAATAAAATTCATTATTTGGACCATTTTCACATTTGATGAGGAGGATTCCTCCTGAGATTTTGAAAAATCAGCAGCTATTAGCTTCTTATTCTCATGTTGTATTATAGGGTTTATTGTTCTTCCTCCACGACCTCTATTAGGGCCGCGTCCTCTATCTGGCGGATACATAATCCTATAAAATTAGAGAATTATTAATGATAATTTTGCTTTACAATAATTTAACCTTTCTTCACTTTCAGTTAATCTTTCAGTGAAGTCTTCTATCACGTTATAGACAAATTCAAGTTCTTTTGAAACAGATATTATCTGTTGTGGTGAAGTAAATTCATCAGCACAATCAAGAATCGTATTACGAACTCGTAAAAAGTGATTTAATCTATGCTTTGCAAAAATATATTCCGTTCTATAATGCTTATATTCAGCAACAATCTTATTATAAGCATTATGTATTACGGATAGTGGTTTAAGATAATCAATTTGCTTCTCGTCTTAGTATTTCCTGCAAGAAACATGTCATAGACATGCTTTGTTGCTTTAATTTTGCATTTGATACATGTATTTTCCGTGTACAATAAAAGAGGCAGCCCCTCAAAAATCAAAATTACACACGTTTAGAGGTTAGAAACTCCAAATGAAAATTTTATTTGGAATTGATGTGGTTCATTCTTTTTAAGCAGAACGTGAGATTTTGTCGCTACTTTTGGAATTCTCTTTGGTGTATGATTGTACTTGTTTTACTTAGTAATAGGCTAAGTGATGCATGTCAAGATTCTTTTCAGTTCATGTTCTTGTCTCTTCATTCCTTAAACTTTGAATTTGTTTTGCCATCATGATTTCTAAGTACTAAAATTCAGGCAAAAATTAAAGTTTCATTGTGACAATGAATATTTATGTTTTGGGGACAAGATGCGGTTGAAAGTAAGTTGTACTAACTTCAATCCATAAGGTCAGCTTAGAGAAACTACCAAAGCTTTAATATGAAAGTTATGCTAACTGTATGAAGTATTATGCCCCAAGTTCATAAGGCATATGAATTCATTTGGTGTTCATTTTTTTCTTGTCGCTACTATTATTGAGTTTAACTTTTTTGCTGTTCTTTCTGTAATTTATTCCATTTTGCAATCTTTTTGCAGTATTTTACAGAAAAGAGGAAAGCGAGAAAGGAATTTATTGACAAATGAACTTCCTTCTTTTATTGGTGACTTAAAATTGTGCTAGGCGAAGAGAGATCCAAGAAGATTTCAGATATGGCAAATGGAAGTTGATGAAGAGGTTAGGAGAAGGGAAGACAGAG